GATATAGACAGATATATTTTAAGGAATTGGCTCATGCCATTATGGAGGCTGGTAAGTCCAAAATCCATAGGGTGGGCTGGCTGGCTGGAGACCCAGGCTAAATGCATCATTTCCAGCTCTGGGTTCCCACAGAACATTCTCCTTTTTGCTAGTGGAGTGCACCAGGAGAGCAGACTGGCTCAAAGATGGGGCTTTGGAACCCGTCAAGTGAATTCCCCAGCTAGCTGTGCGACCTTGGAGAAAACTCCTAACTTTCTGAGATTCAGCTTCCTCATCTATGAAAGAGTGATGTTGGCAGGTAATAATAATATCTACCTCACAGAGCTATGGCAAGAATTATTTGAGATGATGGATGCAAAAAATCCAGCACAGAAGATGGTGGATATTCAACAAATTGTGTTCCTTCCTAGCTTGTAAGCCAGAACTGGGGCATATATAATGTTGGAGACACTGGGGAAATAGCCAAGTCTGGGTTCTTTGGAGTAGCCGTTGTGGGGCAGGAACCAACTGCATCCACTGAGGGACTCCCAGCCCTGTGACCTTTCCAAAGCCTCTCTCAAGACTCAGAGCACAGGACGACCAAGAATTTCTACACCCCACACATCCTAATCACAGTCTCAGGTGCCCTACTGCAAAACCAGAGCCACCCCAGAGCCCAGGACAGAGATGAGAAATAGCTGATGACAAAACCCAGTGGGTTTCGCTGGAATTTTCCGCAGACCGCTTCAGTAAATGTTATCGCTATGCCATGTCATTCGTTATCTTAATTGTTGCATTTTTTTTTTTCAATTTTAAGCTGTCAGACTCGGCAGAGATTACTCATCCAAAGAAGGCACGTTTTGGGGGTTTTGTTTTGTTTTGTTTTTTTGTTTTTCTATTTTGGTCAAATAGTGGTTTGGATTTTCTTAGAAGAAGAAGCTTCTTCTGCTTCCTTTGAAAGGTGGTTTTTATTAAGTATTCAGAGCAAGAAGAAAATTTGGGCTATCAGCTCCCAAAGCCCTCTTGCAAATGATGACTTCCTATATGATCGTGTTTAGTAGTTTCCAAAGGCTTTTCAGATCTAATACAGAGCTAGAAACTTTTAGAGCTGGAAAGGGTTGCAAATGTTATCCCAGTCTGTGGGGGGACCAACCATGAATTGACTCCAGCAATAACTCCAGTACTAACTCGCTTTATAGAGTATAAGGGTATCGCTTCCCTGTTAAAATCCTTCCTTAGCTCTATTTCATTTAGGATGAAATCCACTCACCTTACCATGGCCTTGCAGCAACACCATCCCCAAACATCTTCCCTCTCCCTCATGCACTCAGCCATGATGAACTTCTCCCTACCTTGGGGCATTTACACTTACTTACCGCTTCTCCTATGTGGAACGCTGCTCCCCATTATCGTCACGTACGCCTGGGCTCAAAAGTCATGAGCTAAGAAAATCCTTCTCCAACCATCATGAACAAAGCGCTGCCCCCAGTCACTCTCAATCACATTATCCTGCTTTGCTTTCCTTGTACCTAGTATCTTTAGCTGAAATTATCTGCCTTGTTCATTGTCTTTTTCCTCCTCACATTCCCAATCCTTGCCTATCTGGTTCATTGCCGTATCCCAGAGTTAACCTGGGGCCTGAAACTTGGTAGATCCAGTTGACGTGTGTTGAATGAACGAATGAATTTAATATCCATTTCTTTTTTCATCTGAGCCTCATCTAAACTCTTTGAGGCAGACATTGCTGTTACTTTTATTTAATGGTCAAGGGAATGGGCTCAGAGATAGGAACTGATTCTCCCCCCAAAGCCCCTTTCCTAATTCATTGCTTTGTTAGAAACCACCCCAAAATTTACTGACTTAAAACAACAAAGATGCATCATTTCTCTCAGTTCTGTGGGTGAGCTGAGTGGTTCTTCTGCTGGTCTTGCCTGGGCTCACCCATGTGGCCATGAGACCTGGGACAGCTGGCTGTCTCTCTGCGTGTGGCCCTTCATCCCAGATGTCTTCACAGCCTGGTGGTCTCAGAGCATTATTCCAAGACATTGAGAGCTGCAGCACCAAGGCTTCATAGAGCCCGGCCTCAGGAGCCACATAACACCACTTCCGCTGGGTTCTGTCAGTTAGAGCCAGTCATGGGGCGGCCTGGGTGGCTCAGTCAGTTAAGGTTAAGTGTCTGCCTTCAGCTCGGGTCATGATCCCAGGGTCCTGGGATCGAGCCCCACACCAGGCTCCCTGCTCGGCGGGAAGCCTGCTTCTCCCTCTCACTCTGCTCCTACCCCCCCCCCCGCCCCCCCTTGTGCACTCTCTGTCAAATAAATAAATAAAATCTTAAAAAAAAAAAAAAAGCCAGTCACGAGGCAGGCCCAGTCTAGGGGAAGGGACCCTCTTGCTGGGGGTGCTGCCATATTGCAGAGGACCTTGGGCCCAATTGTGGCCATCTTTGAAAATCTACCATAGCTAAGAAGTGCCGACACCAGCTTGACTGTACCTCTAACTCAGTGAGGAACACCGAGGGCTACGAGTACCCTGCAACATCAGATGACTTAGAAATCCAAATGGCCTACAACAAATTGATCTCTCGGTCGCATTATGTGCCCACTCGGAGCTGGGTGGGGGTTCTGGGGCCCAATATGATGAAGCAGCCTCTCCCTGACACGTCGCCTGAACAGAACCGGTCTCGTGACAGAAGAAAGTGAAACGACAGACACTTGCTCTCCCAGACCCTCCTGCACAGAAGTGACACAAATCACCTTCACCAGCACGTCAGTGGCTAAACAGGTCACAGACATAGCATCCTTTCTCTGGGAGGGGTACCAAATATGAGTGTACCATAATCTCACCCACAGAGAGCCAATTTCCCTTTTCAGATCCTTAAAAAATTTCTTTACGGAGTCCAAATCTGTCTCATTCTATTTCTACCATTGGTCCAAGAGCTGGAGTCTCATCTCCCTCAGAGGGCCCTTCCTAGACACAGAGGTTGCTGAAGCCTTCTCTTCTCCAGGATACACACCCCAGCCTTTCCAGCCACCCAGCCCCCAAACCTGCCGCAGCTTCCATTGCTCACAAGATCAAGTCCAAACTCGCATCCCTGAGGTGTCCTTAAAGTCCACCCCACCGCACCCCAAGATGATTCCTGCTTGCTGGCCCACCAGGCAGCACTCCCTGGATGCCCCAGGCTAGCTGATGCTCTGCACTGGTCTTTTGCTGTTTCCTCCAGCCCTGCGGCCCTCCCCTCTTCTCCACTCCTATCTCAAGACAATCTTTTTTCCCCCTGACAGGGTCAATCACCTTTTTTCTAAACATTTTCATTATAGTATTTATTCATTCACTTACTCAACCAACATTTGTTGGGCATTTATTAGTATGTACCAGCTACTGTTACAGGCTCTGGGAGACACAGGGAACAATACAAACAAGGTTCCTGCTCCTTCACTGGTTACATTCTGGTGAGGTAAAGCAGACAATTAGCTTTAAAACAAAAAATTCTAGATACCGGTAAGTGTTTTCATAATAATAAAAAGGGATGATGTGAAAGGCACTGTGGCGAGAAGGTGACTGCTTTACATAAGATGATCAGGCCATGCGGCCTCTCTGACGTTTGAGCAGCCAGGAAGATACGGGGGAAGAGCAATCTCAGCAGAAGGAACCGCCAATGCAAATGGTCTGTGGTATGGCCCAGGGTGGCCCGTTCAGGGCACAAGTAGGAAGCGGCTGTGGCTGAGGCACATGGAGTGAAGCAGAATGTGGTGAGACATAAGATCAGATCACGTTGGCAGTGATAGGGGGCTTGGATTTTATCCTGACTACAACAGGAAGTCATGGGAGGGTTTTAAGCAGGGAGTACAGAGAGGCATGTTTGATTTACACTTTCTTAGAGATGACCTATGCGGCTTTGTAAATTGTAGGTGACCAAGCATGGAGTCCCCCAGACCCGCTTGGAAGCTCTTGCTGTCGTTCTTGGATGTGTGGCCTACCACATCCTCCCCCAGAAACTGTGACCTCGGAGCTCCTGAGGACTGTGGCCTTGGTCCGCATCTCAGCGCATAGGCACAGGGCCAGGCCCATAGTGTCAGAATGGGCTTAGGGTGGTGTGTCACTCATCTTTAGCACGCCTCTGAAATGTCTGCTTCCCTGAGCCAGCATCCTTCTGCTCTCCTTTGCCAAGCTTCTGCGCAAACTCCTTTCCTCGTATCAGGCTCCCCAAGCAACTACAGGCAGCCCATCTGACCACCTGCCTCTCCTACCCAGGCCTGACTACCCCAGGCACGACACCCTTGGCCATCCTGTCTGCCCAGGCTCCCTCCACCCACGTCTGCAGCCTTGACATCTTGATATTTAAGAGCTAGGTTTTCCCATCTGAGCCTCCATTTTCCATACCCAAAAGCCTCTTTCCCAAGACCCTCCTCTCTACCTCTTCTCTTTCTCCATCCCTTCCTCCAGCTAGAACAAACCCTCTCTGGGGGTCTTCTGAAGTCCCACTGATCCCAGAATTATCCAGGCTTTTCCCCGGAAACAAGTCCTGTCTCTCCTATATCCTGATTCCAGGTAGCAGGGTGCTGGGCACCCATGCTGAGAGGTGCCACCGGATCCCTGGGCCACAGCCGGGAGTCCCCTTCCACTCCTATCACCTCCCAACTGGACGCTGGGTCCCACCCAGGCAGGCCTGGGGATGGGGGGGAGTGGGTGGTGGAAATGAGGGGGGAAATGAGAGGAAGAGGGGTAGTGTGACGGAAAGAAAGAGGAAGGGGTAGCGTCAGAGCCAGAGAGAGAAGGAAAGAAGGTCTAGGAGAAAGTGGGGGAGCGTGGGGGAGAGGGACTGCGGGGAGGGAGCCGAGCGAAGGAAGAGAGAGTGTGCTGTGCACGGAGGCGGGAGGAGAGAGGGAGAGAAAGAAAGGGGAGCAGGAGAGCCCGGGAGAGGGAAGGGAGGGAGGGCGGGAGCGGCTGCGAGCGAGGAGGAGCGAGTTGGGGGCGGAGACGAGGAAGTGGGCGCGGGGCGCGGGCGGGGCGCCCGCTCCATCCCTGTCCGGAGCGGAGCCGGCGCGGGCGCAGGACGCCAGCGAGCCCGGAGCCCAAGCCGGAGCCACACGGCGCAGCAGCTCAAGGTAACGCGGCCGCCGCCTCCCCGCGGGGCCTCGACTCGGGTGGGGTCCCCGCCGCCGTCGTGACCCCGACCCCGAGTGCGAGCTCCAGCCCCGGGGCTCGCTGACTGTGCCTGACCTTGGACGACTCTCTCCGCCTGCGAGCCTCAGTTTCCTTCTCTGTGACCCGCGGGGGTCGTGCGCGCGCCAAGGGGGCGTTGCAAGGACAGGATGCAGCCCTGGTTCGAAGCGGTGCTCTGGGCGCGGGGTCCGGGGCATTGTCCTCCCTGCCGCGTGGGGGTGGATTTGGAAAGTCCACCTGCACCGAAACAGCCCTGTTCTGACCCCGGCTCTGAGCGGTGGCGGTTTTCTAGGGCCGTTGTGTCCGCGGGAGCCTGGAGCGACGTTCTACTAAGGAAAGCCAGTAGAGGGCTGGGGGTGGGCGGGAAGGGGGCTCGCAGTTCCTCAGGGAGCCCAGGCATCTGGCCTTTCATCCTCTGGGTTGCTGCCCTATGATCAGTAGCAAGGACGGGCAGGGCTTGCCTGGACCGATTTGCTTCTGGGATGAGCTGGGCAAAGTGGCCTCGGCCGGGAATCCCGTTCGCGGACTTAAGTAATTGCAGTTGACCTTGACCATGTGAACCTCAGTTTCCAACCCCGTGAAGAGGAGCGGGGATGCTGATGGCTCTCTGAGAAGGCTCCGAGGATAGGAAGGTGGGTCAGGAAAGTACAGGTTGTGGTGTCTCCCAATGGCAGCTGTCATACCCTAACTTCAACGGCCAGAGTCCTGGTTCTCGTTGCCTCCTGGGAACTCATTGGTACATGGCAGGTCCTCTCTTGGTCTCCTTTGCCAGAAGTGGCCAGTGACCCTGCTGGGCATGAAGCAGGCCCTGGGGAATTGGGGTGGGGAGCAGGCGCCCCTTCCACTCCAGACATGCATCCTGATGGTTCTCTGAGACGTAGAATCTGTGAGATGACTGATTCTGCCCTGAAAAACTCCTGGCGGAGTCTCTCTGAGCCTCAGTATCTTATTTGTAATGGGAAGTTATAAATTCATACTAATGAGTGCCCCGTCGCTGGAGGTTATAAAAGGCAATGAGATAGATTACATTTATTGACATCTTTGACTGTGAGGTATGATGAGAATCGAATGGAACAAGAAAATAACATTTCTCCTGCACTTGCTTTGTGCAGGCCTGGTACTTGGTGCATTGTGTATATGGTGTGGGCTATAGTCTCCACAAGGATCCTGGGAAGCTAGTGCCATTAAACCCCAAAATTACAGACAAGGCAACCAAGTCTCACAGGGGCAAATGATTTCCACATGGTCACACTGGTAGGACGTGCCTATGCTGGGGTGGGTCTCAGATCTGCCTGATTCCAAGCACTTCTGATGGTATCACACCGGCTCCACAATATGACTGTGGAAAGTGTCTAGCATGGGACCTGGCACCTGGCTGGAGCCCAGTCAGCACTGGTTTCTTGTTCTACGTGTAATAGGAAGAGCTGCTATATAAAGACTGGAGAAAGTGAGTCTGAGCCTGGCAATGGGGTTGGGTTACCTTTGCCTAGTGATTTTTCTAGGGATCTGGAAGGAAGGAAGGTCACTAGTCAACATCACATAGGAAGCAGATATCAGGCTGGCTCACCTCAGCCAGCCAACTTCTCTTCCTCTACCACCTTGTTCCAGTTAATCTCGTGTCCATTAACATTGGCCTAGGCTCCTTCTCCTTTTCGTTCTCCATCTGCTGTTGACTAACTAAACTGACTCTCCCAGCTGATGCGTCCAACAGGAAGAAAAGGCCAGCTGTGGTCCATCTCCAGCAATGTCCACAGAAGGGGAAACAGGATTAAGTCACAATCCCAAGTATTTGGCTCAACCTTGGGGAGGAAATCCCTGATGATGGGAAAATGGATGCCTAGCTATGGGAAAATGGGTGTCCCGGCAGGCTAGAGAGGTTCCTTTGCCAAAAATGTTTTAAAAGAAGGGAGGACATCTAAGTGAAATGATGGGACTATGCACGAAGTCTCTTTCAAATGCAAAGATATTCATCAACAATCAGAGAGTGCCTAAATGTCCAGTAGGGGATCAATTAAGTAAATTATGGGACAGCCATGTGGCTACTAAGAATGGAAAGTTTTTAATGAATGAGAACATGTTTATGCATATGCATATATAGGGTATGGTCACAAATTCATGGCAAACACTTAGAAAAAAACTAGAAGTTAAATAGACCAAAGACTGTTAACAGTATTTGCCCGTGGGTGGCAGGAATATGGGAGATTTGTTCCCTGACTCTTTATAATTTCTGAACTTCCATATTTTATGTAATATTCTCATTAGTGGACATAGAACTGTCTGGCTTCTAGTGACAATATAACCCACCATCCCCAGCTCCTCTTGGCCAGCACCCAGGACAGGGCCCACACAGGGATACTTACCAGTGACAAGGCCACCTCTATGTTGAATCCTGGAAGGCCCCTCAGAAAAAAGAAAAATAGTAAATTGTTATTGCCAGCAGTATCTGACATTTGCTGTGTTCTCGCTAACCCTACGGTGTAGGTACAAAGATAACCCATTTTACAGAGAAGAAACCAAGAGTCAGATAACTCAGGCACTTGCCCAGCATCCCACAGCAGTCAAACCCAAGCCGCCTGGATCTGGAACCTATATCCCTACTCAGGACAGGTGGACAGATCAGTTAACTCACATTTGAGTCCTGATCACAGAAACCCTGGGGGAGGCAATGCATCTCTGCACTTGGCAGATGAGGCAATGGCTCGGTAGTGACCTCCAAAGGGCCAGGTTTTGTACTCGATGCTGGGGACCCAAAGGCACGTAAGGTGCCGTCTCTACACAGCTGTGGGGGAGAGTGGTGTGTACACAGCGTGCTCAGGGCTATGATGGGGGTTTGTTCAAAAACTGGGAAACTTTAGAGAATGAAGGATGAAGACTCCCTAGAAGAGATGCTATGGGAAATGATTCTGGAAGGATAAGCAAGAATTCACCAGCTGAGCAAAAGAGGTTAGAGCAGTGGTTCTCCCTTGGGGTCGGTTTAGTCCCCTAGGAGATTGTCGCAGCTGGGGTGGGGGGATGTGCTGACTGCTAGTGGGGTGCTGCTGAACGTCCCGTGGTGCACAGCCCATGGTGCCTCCACAACAGAGAATGATCCTGTGCAAAATTTAATGGTGCAGAGTTAAGAAGGCCTGGATAAGAAGAGGGGGACATTCCTGAACAGGGATCAGCCTGTGCGAGGCATCCACACATAGTCACTATGTGCCTCCCGTGCGCTGGGCACTCTGAGCCTGTGGTTGTGCTCTTGGCTGCCTGGCCTCCTTGCTGCCACTCTGCCCCCACCAGCAACCAGAGTGGTCTTTCAAAACAAAATTGAAGCTTTATAGAGATGTAATGCACATGCCATAAAACTAGCCCATGTAAAGTCTACAAGTTGGTGGTTTTCAGTACGTTGTACAACCATTGCCACGATCTAAATCCAGATCTAATTTTCATCACCCCCAAAAGAAACTTTGTACCCATTAACTCTCATTCCCCAATCCATCCCCACTCCTACACAAGGTTGGGATGTATAGGTGTATCTATTCTGGACATTTCATATCTATGAATCATATAATATATGATTATATGGAATAATAGATGGCCTCTTTTGTCTGGCTTATTTCACTTAGCATGTTTTCAAAGTTTATCCATGTTGTATGTAACATGTATCAATACTTCATTCCTTTATATGGCCAAAATAATATTCCAGGGCGCCTGGGTGGCTCAGTCGTTAAGCAACTGCCTTCGGCTCAGGTCATGATCCCAGGATCCTGGGATCGAGTCCTGCGTTGGGCTCTCCACTCCGCGGGAAATCTGCTTCTCCCTCTCCCACCCCCCCCTTGTTTGTGTTCCCCCTCTCGCTGTGTCTCTCTCTGTCAAATAAATAAATAAAATCTTTAAAAAAAACCAAAAACAAAATAATATTCCATTCATGGACCCACCACATTTTGTTTACCCATTCATGGGTTCATGGGCGTTTGGGTTGTTTCCATTTTTTTGGCTATTATAAATAATACTGCTATGAACATTTACGTACCGATTTTGAGGACATATATTTTCATTTCTTCTGGGAATAAACCTAGGAATAGAATTATTAAACCATATAATAATACAATGTTTAACCTTTCGAGGAACTACCAGAGTGTTTTCCAAAGCAGCTGAAACTTTTTTTTGAAGATTTATTTATTTATTTACTTGAGAGAGAGAAAGAGCACGTGCATGAGTGGGTGGAGGGACAGAGGGAGAGGGAGAGAGTCTTAAGCAGACTCTGCGCTGAGCTTGGAGCCTGATGGGGGCTTCAATCTCATGACCCTGAGATCACAACCTGAGTCAATCAAGAGTGGGATGCTTAACCGACTGCGCCACCCAGGCGCCCCAGCAGCTGAACCTTTTCCATCACCACCAGCGGTGTATGAGGATTCCAGTTTCTTCTCATCCTCACCAACCGTAATTACCCAACTTGGATTCTGTGGGTATGACGTGGTATTACTCTCATTTTGATTTGCATTCCTCTAATGGCTGATGAATTTGAACATCTTTTCAGGTGCTTGTTGGCCATTTGTATATCTTGTTTGCAGAACTGTCTGCTCAAAATCAAAACTCCGTTGCTTTGTTCCCTTATGTACTTTAAAATGCAAACCCTACCGAGGTCTACAAGGCTCTACCTGATCATGATTGGGCCCTGCCTTCGACTGCATCTCTGCTCACTCACCCTGCTCTGACCAAAACGGCAAGCTGGTCCCCCACTAAAGTCCTCTGCACGGGCTGTTTTCCTCTGCCTGACGGTCATGTGCATCGCAGCTCTGGGGTCAGCCTCAGGGAGGCCTGTCCTGTCCCGAAAATTTCAAGGCCCTCCTCCCCAGGCCCTTGCTAGCACATCTCAAGGTTTCCTTTGATCTTTTTTTTTTCTTTTACTATCTGATAAGATCTGGAAGAGCTGGGCTCCAGGCATGACTACACCTTTCAT